GCTCAAGGACATATCAAAAAGTGAATATCAAGGGTGCTTCGAAAATTGGAAAAAAACGCTGGCATAAGTGTATTATATCTGGGGGGGGACTACTTTGAAGGGGACCACATTAATGTAGACGAATAAATAAATATTTTTTTGAAAAAACGAAAATTACGAAAACTTTTTGAACAGACCTCGTATATGCCCTTAAGGCTTTAAAAGAATTTTTCATTTTCATTTTAATAAAATATTTTGAGATATATAATTGGGTTAAGTAGTTCACTTCTACAAAATTCTTATAGTTGTTTATGCTATTATGTTTATTACGAATAATTTGACATATTTCACATTCGTTTTTAAAGCAGGTCATGCGCATATTAACTTCATTATAGATATTTTGATATAGCGAATCTAATCTTGAAACAGGTATTATAACTTCAGAAGTTTTCAAAGAGAAATATATAAGTTAAAGCTGAGTATATCGGTAAATATTATATTAAAGTTTCTAAAGCAATGGAAGTTTAGTCGAGCTTTTCTCAACTTATATCTTTACTTAGTAATTGTATCAAACTACAATGATACAATTTTTTACTTTACTTTTAAAATTATGTCATTATTAATAATACAGTTTAATTGCTTCTGTACGGTTATATTAAAAGCAAACATTTTTTGTATAAAGTTTGATCAAAATTCGATAACAAATAATCGATATATAAATTTTGAACAAGACGTATTAAATAATTTATTTGCTATTAATAGCTGAAAGTATTGTTAGATACTATGGGTAAATTTAATACATTTTTCCTTGTTTTGCTCATTGTTCTAGATACAATTAAAAAATCGTTTTAATACAACTTTTAATAAGTAAGTGAATAGTTCGGTCGAGCCATTTTTTCTAGTTTCATTTCAATAGCGATTAGAACTCTATGATTCTGTAAGGATCTGAATTGCCATATTTTTTTTGAAGGCAACTAAAATAGTTGTCCTATCTTTTTTGCTATCTATATATTCAGATAAAAATTGATATCACTACTGTTTGAGGCCTGGAGTTTCTGATTGAATTCCAATGAATTCAACAACTAAGCCATGGGGGAACCCCAAATTTTACATTATTTACATTTTATACCTTTCTATCTCAAATTTTGTTATTAAATTCCCGAAGGAGAAGTTTATGTTTTCATCAAAAAATCCGATTCGCTAATTTTATGTTTTCTCGACGTTTCAAGCCATTCTGAATCGAATGAGACCAAATGTGGAAAAAGTATGTGTGTGTGTGTGTGTATGTGTGTGTGTGTGTGTGTGTGAACAGATTTTTTGCCGTAAATCGACGTTTTCTCTAAAACGCCTGAACCGATTTCAGAAATTTAAAAGCCATTTGATGTATTTCGGTGAGGACTATCGTTTGTCAGTTTTGTTCGACGATCTGCCAAGCCGTTTCTTTGTAATTTGAAAAAAAGTGTTAAACTTTTCGTCCACATTTAAGCTCATCCTACCGGACCGATTTTAAAAAATCAAAAACTGTTTGAAAAATATTAGTTGGGAATGATACTGATTAGTTTTAGGTGAAAATCTACCGAGCCGTTTTCTTGTGATTACCTGTTGAAAAAAAAATTAAAGCCGATTTTTATGGATTTTTTTTAGTGATATATACCATGGTCTTATAGAACTTACTGAAATATTACGGCCTTACGACAAATAGTTTGATTTTAAAAAATCATCAAAGATTGAGAAAATGAGTAGTTCTTTTGACATTTGTTAAAATTAAAATTAGACTATTTACTTGGTATAATGATAGAGTACTTGGTCTTGAACATAATAAACCATTAAAGTCCTGGAAACTGGTTCAATTATAAAAATTATTGATTTTTGAAATTTTGCTTTTAGAAAATACTCCGAGTCAAAGTGTTCGTTCGTTTTCAATTATGTGTAATAAATTCACTCGGAATACTTTTAATGACTCACAAATTAATTTATTATTTATTGATTAAGTCGATTATTTAAACATATAGGGAAATTCATGTAACTTGCCTCAAGGCTAAATACCAAACCAACTAGTTTAAATCCACATTTAATACGAGCTTTTACTGCATTTATTTATGTGGATAATATTAAATAACGTGGCTATTTTGCAAATTCTATTCTATTAATGGTTGGTAATCTAAGGCATTAATCAAATTATGAAATGCACTTTTTTTCGAAACAATATCAACACATGTTTTATTTTTATGCTAGAAAATTTCTCTAACTAAAATCTAACGCAAAGACGAAAAATAACATTATAATGGACGCGTTTGTGACTTCCATAATGTCAGTAATTCTATTTCATCATAAAACATTCCTTTTGGAATGCGAAAATGCTTCGAGTCCGCACAGAACAATTTTTATTAAATAAAACAGAATTATTTAAAACAAAGTTTCAGCTCAGTCTTGTTTATTAAGGAATGCAGTTGATTATGTATTCCGATTGTTTAAATATTTAAATAAAGGTTTCATAATTATTGTCTGAATACTAAATCAGTTAATCCTTTATATCTTTCTTCAACACGAAGAAATCTAATTGTATTTTGTATATTATTAGGAAAATGAATTATTCAATGATGATATAAAAATGTCATTTTTAATATCTTTAAAACTTAAATAATAACTTGGAACTAAATAAGTCTAAAGCGTTATTGGATAATGATAATAACAAGAAGTAGTCTGCCCAAAGGCAGGTCCATGGTGTGAGAGCACCACAAATTGTTTATTCACTTTCTTTGCCTCATTTATTATTTCTTCGACCTTTATTCGCTTAAGCATTTTTCTTTCTAAATTTCTGCTACTATGTTTTGGTGCTTTAGTTTTCAGTTTCCTGTATTTTCTCTTCTTGCGTAAATTGTCAATAATCAGCATTCTTCTTCTTCCCAATTTTTCACTCCTTTTTTCTTATAATGTCAGTGAAATTTTTAAATAATGCAGTTTATAATGTTTTATAATATTTTAAATATTTTAATAAAGGTTTTATAATTTTTTATAATCATTGGTCAAATCATTATAAATTGATTTGAAACTTAATAACATAAATATTGTAGTTATTTTTATTATTATTTACACTGCGATCAGAACTTAAGGGTTCTATAAGCTATTTTCATGATTTGACTTAACTAAGTTACATTGATTTTTTTGATAGCAACCCCAATAGTTGTTCCATTTCTATGTGATGAATTTTCATTATTACAATTTTTGTAATAGCGAACAACTGTCAAGTAGTATAATTGATGTATTTTTACCACTCATGCTTCTAATAAATCCAGAATATAATCATTATGGAGTCTAGTTTGAAATATATCGGGTGTCACAACATGACATGTGTGTACTCAATGTATTATGTTTATAAAAGTATATCAGTTTTTATTTAATGTAATATGATACATGTTTGATGAACATTGCTTTTGTTCATGTTTATACGAGTAATATATTGATTTATGTGTTCAACCTTTTTAGGGCTACTAAATTAAATATATTCACTATTAAAGTTTGAATTTTATGCTTTTAATATACAATAAGTAATTAGGAGTTGAACTCGAAAATTAAGAGCTATTTTCAATTATTGATTGCATTAATGAATTTTATCTGTTTATTAGTTCTAATTAATATATTTTGAAATCAAGGCTTGTTACAATTATTTTATCATTATATTAAATTTACTTACTTATATATAGAAATAAATTTAAATAATAAATTCAAATATGCAAAGATGAGCAAAGGTTCAATATGCAAGATAAGCGAGTTTTTCATATAGTATACACTTATGCCATTTCAGATAAATATAATTTTAATAAATCATTAATTAATACGCAAGCTATTTTTTTCCATCGAAATTTATTGTAAATTAAAAATTGTGTACATCTCTTTTGTTCCATTCATTATAATTATAATTCACTTATTTCGCATACAAATATATTTTATAATATATGCAAATATATTTTTATTATTGTATACAAATTGATGTCATACTTGCAAGGAATTAGTAATCGCTATAATACAGTTGAATTAATTTAGTTAGGCATTATATCATTCAATTATTAACTAGGCATCTATATTTAATTATTAACTTTAATATGATATTTGTATATTATTTGGATTATATTTGTTATGTTGTAATTAATATTTAATTATTGAAACTATAATTGCTTTTATACAGATTATGGTAAATTAATTTAATTGGGCATTAAATCTTAATATACATTCAATTAAGAACTTTATTATGATATTTGTATATTAATTAGATCATACTTGTTTTGTTGCAATGAATTTCTAATTATTGAGTAAATTATTGTCTTTATGCAGTTAAAACAATTAATTAACGTTTGATGATATTTATATATCATTTGCATCCAATGGTTTTTTATATTAATTTAGTATTTAGTATTACAAATTATTAAAAGCAATAAATATATTCATCATTAAATTACAAACAGATCGCGTTGCAATTACAAAAAAATCTTGTTCAATAATAATAATACCATTCAATATTAGTTTCTAGTATTCAATTATTTGCTAATTATTGAATTTTGTAAATTTACTGTTAATCTTATTTTGTAAAATTAACAACATCTTCAGTGGCGATTCATTTCGTCGAAACGAATTTTTTTTAACACGTTAATTGCCACAATAATATCGGAAATAATTCCATGGACCAAAGTAACTTTATAATATAATTTAGTTTGAAATGTATCAAAAAAACTTCAAATATTGTTTCAAACTAAATGTTTCTTTTTGCCAAATTTTCTGGCAAAATTATTAAACACTATTTATTTATGTCACACGTATATGACTGATATTGCCTATATTAAAACTTTTTGTTCTGATAAATCAAGAAATTTTTAGGTCAATTTGTCATGTAGCTCTGACATGGCTCATGTAGAATTTCTTAGCATCAGACTTATATAAAGAACATTTAATAAGTAAATAATTAAATTTTATCTAACAATATCAATTTTAACTAACTTCAATTAACAAATAAATTGATTGTTCTGTTAATTTAAGTATTTATGGTCTAAAACAAACATGTTTGCCTTGTGGCCTTTTGCTTTTAAACCTTTAACTGTGTATAATCTGCCAGCATTTTTGTCTTTAACTGGTTTGCCATTTGTTGCTTCAGCAGCCGTTGTTACAAATAGAATGTTCATGTCTTTGCCACCAAATGCCACTGAAGTCACCTAAATTTAAAAAAAAAGATATCTTCAAATGATTTCTATTTCTACTTTTAATTTTTATTATACTGTTGATATGAAGCAATTCGCACAATTATTATTTTTAAATTCAATTAAATTACAGAAACACTATTTTTAGAGTTTCATATACTTTGAATGTTTCATTCGAGCTATGTTCATTGTTTTCAGTAAGATGTTTTATTTTTGAGTTTTTTTATTAATAAACTTAGAGAGTTCTATTCATTTACTACATGTTGATTTAAACAAGCAAGCAAACTTTTATAGAAGTCTCTAGAAAATAGAGCGTAGGTGAAAACGTATTTGCAACTACCTTTACAAATTACAAAGAGAAATTCAATTTTAGCTAATTGCTCTGAATTATTGCTTCTGTTTTACACCAAGAGTTCTTGGAAAGGCAGTACATGAAACAGATTCGTCATTTTTTATACATATATTGAATTTAATGAAAACCGAAATCCAATTAAGAAATCAGTCTAATTTTAAGGTCAGTTTTGTAACTTCTTGCCTTACACATGTGTAAATGAAATATTTGTAGGGCATATTACAAATCAATCTTTCTACAGAATGTTACTGCAATATCTATTCCTGTAATCATGTATTTTTATAACTGTTTTTTTTATAAATTTAAGATTTTTTATTATTTAAAAAATTATTGTTAGAGCTAAAACGAAAAAATTGTAACTGTAACTGTTTGCAATTACATTTATTGCTATTAACTAATGACGATGATATTAATTGAAGTATAAATGAATTATTATTAAAATTATTACATTTTCTATAACCAGTGATTAGTTAGAACTCTATCGAATTTTCAGTTTGAAATTAGTTCATCAGAAACAATGCTTTAGTGGTACTATATTTCCAGCTCATTCGATGGGCATTTTCAATTATTCAGCTATCTGAATTTTCATTCAATTGAAAATCAAGTAATGAGAAATTCAAATTGAAATTGATTTTTAATAACTAAAGACTTACTTGAGGTGCGGGTATCATAATCTCATGTATAATTTCCTTCTTGATTGGATCAAATTGTAAAACTCTTCCTCCACCGTGCACAGCAATATATAAAATACCTGAAATATACATCAGTATTATAAATAATTATTTCATATTCATATTTTATAAGCATTTATTGAATTGCGATTGCACGTCTATTTTTATTAAGTGCTTTCAAGATGTATTTATAATAATAAACACACATTAACGGGCAAATTTAATTCAAAATTTACTTTACACTTTTATGTTGCTTCAAACTCATTAATTTACAGCTATTCATGTTCATTTCATCATGTTCAAAATATTTTGTACTTATGATAAATATATATACGATGGCAAATTTCATTGTAGATCGAATAAATTTTTTTTATTCAAACTAATATGGGAATGGTCCATTCTGGTACATTAAATATTGATTACCACTGTATTATAAATTAATTTTTGGTTAAATCAATATATAAAGTTGATATTTACCCTCAGTGTCTATTGTCATTCCATCAGGTACTGCACTCTCTGGAAGTTTATACTTTTTAACAGAAATGTTTATTAATACAACTGGGTTTCTTATCACTCCAGTCTTTTCATCATAGTCATATTGAGTTACTGTATGTTTAGTAGAATCACAGTGATACATTTTTCCTAAAAACAACAGAATAATTTATAGTAGGTATACTATAGGTTTTGGCTCTTGAGATCTAAGAACACATATGACATATACATATATAGATCTTTACATGTCTTTAAAAGAGCCTACGAATTTTGAATCTTTTAAATTTCTTTATCAACTTGCAATATTTTGTGCTGGATTTTTAATTTTTTGTTAGCAATTTGAACTTTGTTTTTTTATTTTTTGAAAATGTTTGAATTTAAAAAAAAATTATTAAAAAATAAATACACGTGATATCTTACTATACCCCCCTCCCCCACGTGATATTTCGTGATTTATTGTCAACCCCCCCCTCCCCTAAAAATCTCACGTAATTAATGGACGCCTTCAAAATTATCCCCCTCAACACCACGTGTATTTTTAGTTTCTAGAAAAAATATTAAATTTTTGGTATTTTTTTAAAATTTTGAATATTTTCAAAATTCAAATAAATACATGTGATAATTATCTAACTAGATTCCGTCTTTCCTCATATGATATTTTGTGATTTCAACCCCCTCTTTTAAACCACGTGACTGAAAGTAGCCCCCTCATGACAAAAGTTTGTAAAAATTAAAAATTTCGTCATTTTAAAATATTTAGTATTTTAAAAACATCTTTAATTACAATTAATCAATTGAAAATATTTTTTTATTAAAGATTTAAAATTAGTTAATCCTTTATATTCTTCTATAACGCAAGGCAAAATAATTGTATTTTTTTTAAATCGGTAGGAAAATCCATTATTTAATGATGTTACACAAATATTAATAATATCTTCAAAACTTTCATAATAACTTGGCGAAAAATAAGCGAAAATATTTTTCTTTATAACTAAGCTCTAATTAGTAAAGTAATGATTGCTGCGCATATGTAATGTGTAATGCTAATGACTTACTTTGATTTTTAAATCTTTAATGGCTGTTGCTTTTAATCTTACATATGATGATATTCCTTTAAATATTATTATAGCACTAAAAACCATTATTTCCGCCTTTTAGAAGGCTTTATTATTTTCAGTCATTAAAAAGTAGTTCACCAATTATAAGTTTAATTATGAAAGTTTCATCATAAGTACCAAACGTGTTAATACTTTCCGCATTATGGTCTCTATACGTGCTGACATTTTGTCATAAAAGCCAAACTTTGGCCACTTCAAATAGCTATTTGGTGAAATAGATTCATACAATTTTTCTGGAGAAAACCCATTTTATTTTTGCCTTCAACAAATACAAAAAGTCACTAATTAATTTAAAATTAGCTTTATTGCAATATTATGGCATATTGCGTAAAATAGAAGCATATCGCTTAATAATTGACGTGGATGCTATAGCATTCATTGTATATAACAATGATAATCTGATATTCTTACTACCCTTTTATAATTTAAAACTAAAATGGCTGTCAATTTTTGTACCTTGCTAAATCTTTTACTGTCCACGAACGTGTTAATTTCTCACTTTATAAATATATTTGGCACTCTAAAATATTTTATTCACGCTATGCTTATTTTACAATAATGTCATATTTTATCTCGGCAATACTGCAAAAATTCTTTTCCGATGTAGGCGGATGGATATTCTTATATGTGGATTTTCAAAATATTTTTAGCTATTGTACACTTTTATATCTTAGAGAAACATATTATATTTGAAAGTGTTGAGTTTTATGTAGCGTCACGTTTTACGTTTTACGTTTCAAGAGCTATTTATTTTTATTCTTACCCAATTCCCTGTTCCAAGCAATTCCGTTGGATAATCCGACGTGTTCGAGCAATATCTGCTTCGTTAAATCCGATCCTAGAGACAACAATATCTCATCGTTCGGCTCGCCTGGACCATCCAGCATCGTACCTATAGAGAAAATTAAGTAGGATTTTATTGCAAACACTGGGTTTAATCTTTTTATAATTGTTTTCGTTAAATGGAACTTCAAAACAAACTATTACATAAATGTGAGAGATATTCAATATTAAATGTACTTTATTTGTTGAAAGTAGATTTTGTTGGAAAACATTTAAATCGTTGAATGGCTTATTTTCTCATACGCAAACTTTTTGTCGATATGACTTTTCATGAATATAAATTTTGGCGCAAATTTTTTTTAATGACGAACCATTTGTTGTGGCGAAGATCGTTAACGCATTGACTTTGTATGGATAGGGTCGCGCGTTCGAATCCCCGCTCTGGCAATCTGACATCGGGCAGCGCGAAATAGAAATGAGAGAAACTCTCACACTACTTCTCAGTACTACCCATTAGCAACCCCTTAACTTACGATTTAGATTTGAAAATGTTCAAGCTGGCGCGGCGTTTGTTACTATTTTCCCTCATAATGTACGGTTTATCACAAAAATAAAATAATTTTGTGTTTTATAGATTCGTATCAAAAAATATTTTGTAATTGTTGCGTTCACCATACCGGGCCATGCTCGTAATGCGTAATATTTGTTTTTGTCCCGAAAATCGTACGCGGGCTATCCCCATAATATTCACTTTTGGCCTAGCAATCGCATGCGGGCTCTGCTCATCATTTTAAGTTAACGGGTTAATAAGATGAAGTAAATATGTTTTTGCCAAATAATCTGATTTGCTAAGTTTTTGTTTTCTAGACGTTTCAAATCATTTCGCATCGTTTTCCAACAAATTTGTAAAAAGATGCGTTTGTAGAAAATTCACATTTCACTGTTTGAAAGATATCATTTGGGAATTGTGCTGATGAGCTGTTGTATATTAATTAATTTTTGAACATTCTAACATGTAATAGACCTACAAAAGGTCAATTTCCTTAAAAATTAGAATAATGGGTCATGCGTTTAGATCATCTAATTTATGTAATTTTATTTAGAAAATGCATTGATTTCTATATAATAATATACGAAATATTTATTTTTAAAATTTCTTAACCTAAATTGCGACGATAACAATTTTAAAATTTACAATCTCAATTGATCTATTATTGATGAAGTCGATTTACACATATCGGGAACGTTAATGCAACTTGTCGTAAACCGAATTGCCACTTACATCTAGTTAATTTTTTATTATGATTTAAATGTGTGTTTTTTTTGAATTATTAATATCTAACGGAATCATATTTTTTCATTAACACAGTCATTGAGACATGATGGGACTAATATTATTTCAATAATTGATATGATAAATTCAAAATAGATTAATAAATGGCGCATTTTAGAATTATCAAATTTCAGGATGATAATTTGAAATTATTAGATTTTTTTTATTTTTCAATTACTATATTTGTTACCACTGCTAAATAAATAACATTTCGTAACAGTAATGAATAGTTATATCAATTTAATAAAAAGAGCACAAAATAAAAAATAGAATTTTCAATAAAATGATATCCGTAGTATGTTTATTTAATATAAAATAAAAGCAAATAATAATAATAATAAAATTAATAAGTAAAATAAATAAAATTTCTGAAAAATAAAAATAATACTAGAATAACAATAAAGTAGAATAAAAACAATAAGTGAAAGATAATAATAAATATAACAAAATTATTAGATGTTTAGTAATTATAACTTTTATTAAACAGTTAACATCATCGCCCGCAATAGAGTCCAGTTTAAAAAAAATAGTTTCGAAGAAAATTTTACTCACAACTATTTATTTTATATTCGTATAGTATTAAAATATCCTAAATATCTTGTAATTTGAGTATTTGCTTTGCCTTTTTTTCTTTTCACAAATTGCAAGACTTATCTGCATGACGAATATACTCGTCAGTACACAAAATTTTGCCACTTCTTCCTGACGAGTATGTTAGTCAATCATTGTTAATTGTTTAATTCATGGTACATTAGATGGGAATGTATGGCGTATGCTTTTTTAATTATTTTAGCAATGAATGAATTAGAAGTTTAGCGACAGTATATATGGCAGAACAATTGTTCTAGAAAGCTTTAGCTTTTACTGTGCTATATAATGTGGCTCATATTAGTAAGTACCTATAGTATGCGTCGTTTACTCCACGCACATACTTCTTCAACTGATCTTCAACCTTCATTCAGACAATTTTAAACTTTCTGAACGTTGCGGAAATATAAAGCAAATAAACTGTCGAAAGCATTTCAAGTTGCTCACCTGCCACGAGTCTTCCCATAAAATCGACTTTGGCGTCGTTGAACCTTGTCCCAGCTTTTCTGTCGTCAATCTTGACGAGTGTTCGGACGGTCTTAATGTCCGGGGAAGATCCATCCCACTGCACAAGCAATAAATCCAGATCTGCGCCCACAACGAACTGGTTATTTGTACCATTCACGGGTATTGCGAAACCCACACTTTTGGTTCCATTCAATTTTCCTCTGTATCGATTCGAAAGAAGGGGTTTAAACATTGATTAACAGTATCACACACATTTTGATGCGTTATTGGATTTGCCGCTTTATTCAAACTATTTTTAAATAAAATATTTATATTGTGTATAAAATAAAAACTTGATATTTTAATTTCTTTAGGAAAGCGTTTAAGAAAACGTTTTCGGTTTGATCTACTCCAAAAGGAAGTAATAGAGCTTTTGTTTTCGTTAAGTGACTGGAAATAGTTTCTATACATGATTCAATCGAAAATTATATAAATTACTATAATGCTTAGAATAATGATTTATATTAATAAAATGATTTATATTAAAAACATACGAGTATATGATCAAAAGCATTAGCATTGGCTATTTGACTATTGTGTATAAATTCACACAAATGTTCACAAATGTTAATGTTTACAGTTAGACGTATCTTGAAATATAATTTCTAGTAAATGTGCAATTTGATTTTTTCAGTTTCAAAGTTTCTGATGATAGGGACATTCCAGAAACGTAGAATAAAATAAATAATAAATTATATGAATATTTTTTTGAGAATAAATGGAGGGTTTTAGTTAGGAAAATTAACATTATGATATATATATTATATATATATATATATATATATATATATATTAGGGTGATCTTTAATATAGACATTTTTGAATTTTTTTGCTCCCAAGGGCTTAAATGCTTCGAAATTGATAAAAAAAAATTCACTAAAAGTTTTAGCTCTCAATATTAACTTTTGCATAGTGCGCAATTCAATCAAAGCTTCGTATGGAAATAGAATGGAAAAAAAATCGAAAATTGTATAAAATATTTTTAGGTATAATTTAGCGACAAATGAATTCAAAGCGGCAATCATCTTTTATTGAAAATTTGACACTCTGCTTTTATAATTTGTTTTGTAAAGCGTCGAATTTTGAATAAAACTCATTCATTTGTTCGCTAACAATAAGTTATATCTAAAAAACATTTTTAAATTTTTTGAAAATTTTTTCATGCTATTTACATACAAAATTTTGATTGAATTGCGCACTATCTAAAAGACAATATTAAGAGCTAAAACTTTCAGACGATTTTTTTTAATAATTTGGAAGCATTTGAGCCCTTGGGAGCAAATTCCATATTGAGGACCACCCTAATATAAATATATATATACATATATATATATATATATGTATATATATATATATATATATATGTATATATATATATATATATATATATATATGTGTGTGTGTCTGTGTGTCTGTGTTTAATTACCTGTAGAACTTTTTATTCTCTGGATTATATCGCAACAAACTACTAGAATGTATATCAACAAAATACAGCATTCTGTTTTTTTCATCCCAATGTGGCCCCTCGTTCAACTCATTTCGTTCTTCGCCTAATAAATGAATAATTTATTAAATAGGAATATGATTTAAGAATAAAGTTGTTATCTATAATTTATTAAAATAATTAATAACAAAATATTTAAAGGAACCCGATTTTAAGTAATAATTAATGAAGAAAAATTTACAGATAATTTACACTATTCTGGCTTCTTTCGAAATATCTTAAACGCGATTTTTAGATCCAGAATCATTTATTCATTATTCCGGTATAAAACGTATTAAGATGTTTATTTGTTTAGGATAAAGATGGGTTGTACGATTTGCAATAGAATTCGAATCTGAACTTTTTTACTATAATTTTTTTTTCACACACAATTTTATATAATTATAATGCATGTTTTGAAACTAATTTAGGACATATGATGTTTCGATTTAGATTATATACACTTCTGTTCTCTAAATTAATATTAAACATTAGACAAACAATTTGATATGGATTTAATAGCTAAACTATATAAATTATAAATATGTAATATGTCTTAGAGTATATCAAAATTTTGTTTATTATAATTTAGTTTACAGAATTCAGTATAACTTTAGTTAGATTATTTATCATATTTTATTAATGTATTAGTTAAGTTCCTCAATTGAGTTTACCTAGCAACTCCACCTGATATTTATCACAAGCCGACAGAACTACTCCGAAGAGAAATATTAATTGCACAAAAATTAAGTTCATTTTTTATTTTAATTATAATGTAAACACTAGATTATTAAATAATAATAAATAATTAAATAATTTATTGCTGTATTACTATCTACAAGTATGATTAGAGCGTGCAAGTAGCATACTGTAGTGCACTTGACTTGGGAAAGACTTATATAGACGTATTAATATTTACTACAATCTAATACACGTATATGTATATATATACGGGTGTATATATATGTATATATCTATATATCTATCTATCAAACATTACTTAATTTCACTTCAAGCTTTATGCATAATTAGCCTTGATTACTTTTTACTATAAAATTACCGATACAAGCGGACAGTTATATTGCACAGGGTCGCAACTAATTTAGTTTTTGCTATAAAAATAATGTAAATAAAAATGAGTACATAACTAGAAAAAGTACGAAGAATAAAAAACTATTTACATATTTATAATATTTTCATTAAGCTTACAGTTACATGTATAATTAATCATATCATTATTAATAATATAATAGGATAAAATCATTTATGAAATTATTTATAGAATGGCTCAGTTTGTGCTATATATTTTTCTTATTCCACTTAATATAATTAAAAATAATTAAATTTGTAATACTTCAATATATAGAATTTGACTCTTAAAACAAAAATATTTATTTATAGTAGGGTGGGGCACAAAGGTAATTAAATTAGTAATAGTAATAAAGGTAATTTAAGTAATTATACTGTCTATCAAATAAACTACATCACAGCACATAACACGTACCAACAAGCAACTATCGATTTATGTTCAGTAAAATTGTCAGTTCATAATTCCTAATTAAAGAAATATATTTTTTAGGTATTTTTCTAAAATTTGTCATTCGTTCCTTTTTACCCCATATAGTCTGGGTAAAAATGAACAGCCATCGGGCAAAGGGATACAATGATTTTAAAGAAATTTTATGAAATAAGAGCTAAATTTTTTAACCAATGCGAAATAAAAATTTTATGGGCACAAGTTTACAAAAGATTCATCATTGTTAACATTCATCTTGTAGTTTGTCAGAAATATTTATCAGAACAATTAGATTAACTATTAGTTTAATTCATCACTTGTAAAATTGCTTTGTTTAACTTAATTTATTTTTTTTTCTTTATTGTTTTCTTATTGTTCACGCCTTTTCCAGACTAAAGGTTCAGTTGGTTCTTCTTACCCCTTAAACATATAGAGGTTATACAAAACATCTGTTGAATCTGAATTAAAATTAACAACACCTTATATAAAATAATTAAATAACGTATACTTAAAATTATATTAAGGTCTCGTAAACTAAACACGAGTGCTCAAAAACAAAAAACTAACAACAACAGAAAATGCTTTTTTTTCAAAGATTTTCAAATATTCTTACTTAATTTGCTCTGGTACTTTGCAATAAATGATATTTTTATTTTCAATTTAAATTTGTTTTTGGTAAAAATAATTATTCTTAACAGAAGTTTCAATTTTATGTCCAATAATGAAGTATTCAAATATGCAAAACGTGAAAAATATTCATAAAATATGTTTGTTCAGGCACGTTTTATAGATTTCTATCTTCCGTCATATGAATATGCAAATTTTTTATAATGACAATATTCAAACAATCGGTAAATGAACTGCTATTTGCAAATGAAACATTAACTGATTTTTTATCTTGACCGAATATTTGGTTCAGTGATTTTCCAATACGTGCAGCAGTAGAAGCAAAAATCCGATATGAATGTTTTATGAATGTTCGTACATATCTTCATGTTTTTTGCATCAACGAGTTTTGTCACATAAGCAGATGTTCGAGATAAAGGTTCTATTCTATATTCAAGTATTTTTTTAGATATCTATTAGAATAAATTATTCAGTTGTATATCGCCACAGATTATTACTAATTTATAGAAAATTTTTGTTCATACTAGCGTTTTTAAGTTATTATTATACATTAACATGTTTAATAAATATTTATTTCGCATTCAGGTTGATACGTACAATCAATTCGTAGATTTTCTTCATATTGCGTCCAATTTTCTGTTATTTAATGAAGATATCAGTACTGTTGATTCTTTTAAATTGTACTTCTAATCATTCTGATCATTTGCTAAATTGGCATAGCCTTTTTTGAAGTTTTTAATAGGAATGTATGCGATACTTCTAAAAGGCAGTATAAAAAGTAAACTTAATCAGTCATTTTCCTAAACAATATAATCACATAAATTTTCATGTTTCCACTAATTGTAAGAAGCGAAATACTTGTAAATCTTAAGAATGCAAATCCTCAATTTGCTCAGAACATCGTGTAGTCGTAGTAAATATCCTTCATGAATTATATTAATTATTTGTTAGCTTAGATTTCATCAATATTTTTAAAAAAATGAAAAGATAAAGGCGCTCTGGACAGACTTGACATTTATGTAAAAACAAAGGCGTTTTTATTATCTGTTTATAATGATTTGTGGGACAAAAATAAATAAATAATTTGCAAATATTTATTACCAAACTTGGCACCCATGACAATTGATCAAATAATATTGTGTTCTTAGATAGCGCAAATATAGATATGATAAAAATCACATCAATAAAATAATTGCTAAGAAATTGGCTAATTTCTCTATGAAAGGGCCAATTTTTTTATCCCAACCTCGGCCAAGCTCTAATTTACGTTAAATTTAAATAGGTAAGGTGTCCCGGTTTGGCCAGGACAGTCCTGAATTTTCACCTTGTGTCCCGGGTTATTCTGAAAGCAATATTTGTCCCGGATTTAGATGTTCTGTCTCGAGTTGTCCCGGGTTTCTAAAAGGTATAGGTATAAATTAAATATTCGCAATTACTTGATAATAAAATCCATCAAATATTCTATAAAAGTTTGTTTATATGAAACAAATACGTCATGAATGAGAAAATTGCCGAATGCAAAATTTCAAAAGCCGATTAAAATAGCCCCTCACATTAACAATGTTGTACTTTTATTTTCAATTTTATGAAAGCTGCCAACAATTATGAAAACGAACTTTTCGCCTTGCACAAGTGTTAATTTTTACTAATTTATTAAGGCGTATTTTATTTATTTTAATTTTGATCGCTAAGAATAATACGAAACTCATAGTAAATAACCAACTATTAAGGTTTTGTAACATCCTATTCCGCATTCTCATCAGTTATATAGGTACTTTACTTCCGCTATCCTTTCTCATCGGAAGGAAGCTTAGGAACTGACGGTAGATGACGGAAGCTATCAAATAGAAGATGGGTTTGGGTATACATAGGTACTAGTATATACCGATACAATATCGATATAACCTTGGATTTTATTTTTCACACTTTTTTCACGAAATATTTAAATTTCTTTATGATGAATAAAATCTACCCATCTACTTATGAAATTACAGAATACCAAAAAGTAAATTAATTTGAAGGAAAGAACTTCACGTTATTTAAATACATACAAAAAATATTGATTTTGTGTAATTTTGATTATACAGAATTCTAATTATTCATTATTTTAATTTTTTATAATTTTAAGAAAAATGACAACTCAAAAATTGTCAGATGTCAGATGTATGGGCATTTAATTTACTTTTTTCATGTATGTTTATATATGTTATATAAACGTCGTCGTCCAATTTATAATATATATTTGTCTATAGAATACAAATAATGAGAGTTACAGTACTTGGAATAATATATTAGAAAACTTTTCATGTACTTCGATTATTTCATGACGGTATGGAAAGTTCCAGTAATTTGCCTTAAGGAACGATGACATACACAACAAGTATATAGTATAGTATAATTCAATTAGTAAATCATTAAATTTAAAAGTTTATTATAAATAAAATCATTATGATTTGTGATCAAACTTGCTATACTCTAAATAGCACAATGGGCTAAATAAGTTAACGTTATATGAATATGTTCTGTAAATTATATAACTACTTATGTTAAAAATTGAAGTAAATATTTTGAATACAACTTTGTTTTTTTCTAAAATTTGTAGCCATGGATTGTAAATTTGTAAATGAAAGTTCACAATTATGAATAATTCGAATTCTTTCACAATTGCTCTCAACCTTTGTTCCTGATATTTTATATACATCGATAATGATCTAGGTGATTTAGATTAGTTATAATAGAGCTTTCGATAAGTCTTTTTCTACTTACTTTCGATTAGATTAATCTTGAATCATGAAAATTATTGCCATATGCAATTCAAATATGTAATCGTTTTTTCTGGCGAGAACACATTCGAAACTTAGCTGAACTAAATATGTATTTACTATTAATTCTCTATATTAACATGTATTAAATAAAGATTAACTCAACAATTATAAGTCAATAACTTTAGGACCCCCGAGATTTTTTTTACCATACACTAGTACATAGCCATAATCTTGCATTAGACTTAAATCAAATATAAAATTTGGGCATATAAACCAATACATTTTATAAATCTATGTTGTTTGATATTATAAATGTGAACAGAGCATTATATATCTGCTCTCCATAAAGAATAATTTCCGATTAGTTCGAAGTTATTTTTCTATCCTTATTATTTCATTCCACATATTTACTCTGCCCATTTCCTTTTTTTTTCTTAGAATTTTACTGTTAATTAATATTCAGAAAAATTTCATTTGCTACTTAATGTGACTTACAATAACTTGACATGGTTGTTATTAGCAAAATAATAACATTGTTGTTCTTACGATTAAAGTATGAAAGCTACCTTACTTTGTGCAAAGCTTGCAAGTATTTGATATAGGATTTTTGCTTCTTAGAAAATTTAATTGAGATAATGAGAATTTGTCCTTCAAAACTTTTTATGTGCATGTTCAAGCAGAGCGCTGTGCTCTCTATAAAATTATAATAATGCCCGCGAGCATGACCTTTTCTTTGGAACTTTTAACTACGCATGTGATATTTGCCTTATTTTGATATAATTGATGTCTTACAATCCAAGTAAATCATTGGCTATGAAAAATAATCTGTGAAATTGTACTTATTTGAAAAGTTATTAACAAATTCTCATAAGCAATGGTCTTTGGAAATGGTCAATGGAAAAACAAAAATTATGATTTTCTGACAATGAATTTAGGCCAAGACTATAATATTTTTATCTTCAGAATTTCAACTTTTACACATACATAATTTGATGTTGAAGAATATTCAAGTGATCATAATTGATTAATAGAGAAATTAGATGCTGATGCATATGCACTTGATAATTTTTCACATTAGAGCTTATATATGCATATAAAGCCTTTAGATATTTCTACGTTTTTAGTAGGCAGTATTGGTTTGGTTTTCTCATGCATTATAACATTTTTTATTTTTGGTTACATATAACTGTATTATAATAATGCATGATGGACATGGGTAAAATTTATAATATCGCATTTAACGTATCCTTATTTTGAAACATAGTCCTTGTTAATTGTTTTAATTTTGTACAGTCTATTTTACTGAAAGTGAATTTACATCACATAATTAGGGTACGTTTAACAAGACTGTGGCAAAGAAAACAAATATGTTGACTTTAAGTTGTATAATGCTGAACATGCACTAATTAGGTTTGGTTGCGCAAATTTAATTGGAAAATATGCACCTCATATAGTCGAGGTTCCAAATTATAGTAGAATCTGTACAGAACCATTATTACAACTTAGCGAAACATAGTTTTACTAAGCGGACAAAACACAAAATAATGCTCGTTAATTTAAGCTGTTGGACATTGAAGTTTACGTGGCTTTGGACTTAATTGTATTTGATAAAACTCTCAAAAAACGATTTGAATAGAAGCAGAGGTGCATGCTCCAATTTATTGATTTATTTGATCAACCATTTTCAATATTTTTCTTGTCATCTTCAATTGCATGTTAGAAAATAAATGTGTTGAAGAAAAAATTCAATCAGTATATTAGTTCATCTAATATATCGATATAATATAATGTTTATTTATAACTAGGTATTCTAGCAATTTGTCTGAAGACACAACATTATACATTATCAATTGTATGTTCATTATGATGTTTCTGGCAAAATAAAAGAAACACGTAATCTGCTTTAAATTTCTTAAACGAGCAATAAACTATCAATATTATCAAGCTAACCATATATGATGATGCCAGATGCATTCGTTTACTGTTAATTTATAATTATGGTGAATGAATTAGCGTCTTACGAAACAAATGATAAGCGTTATGTAATATCAATATTACAACTCGCACAATACTTGCCAACTTATACATCTGTACATAGTTATTTTTGTGTTTTTGCTGTAATAGATTTCTATTGACTTCACGCATTACCAATTTTCTTAATACAATCCTGTATATATTTATATACATATAACATGTTTGTATATATACAATAATAAGAAACCAACGTTGCGTATAAATCTACTGGTCACATCCTTGGATAGATTTATCCGATTGCAATTATCGCTGTACGTGCAATCGAGATTCTTATATTGCCTATTGCGACTTAATTATAAGTTATGAGTTTTATTTAGTTCTTTCATTATGTGGTTACAATATAATACAATATACCATACAATTTATATTAATACTGATATAGCTGAATGTAAAAAAAACTATTCTTAACAGTAACTTAAAAAACATTTTTCAATAAACTTCTCGTTATTATATTTGTTTTAAACCGATTAGTTATTAATATGAACTTTATGAATAGCTCGTGATCCACCGAGATGCTACCAAACTCTGTTAAAGGACCAGATTAAATTATTGGCTATATCAGACCGATTAAAAGATAATAAATAATTTAAATGTTCTTTATTAGGATAAAATTATGCGATTTTAGAAATATATTGATGATTGATATGTTAATTGTTATAATGATGCTAGTTGTTTGGATATTGAGTTAATACTGACATAACTGACTATTATATATTAATGTCGAAATATTACTTGATGTTACTTAGATGAGTGTTAAGATAGTAATAATTTACAAAGTTTTAATGCTTTTATTTGTTTCTAATTTGTTCATTTTTGGGTGCAAGTGACTGCCCATTACATTCCTATCCAATCAAGTATTGACTTTTAATTTAGTTGGGTAGAGTTTAAAGAATCTGAATTTCTTAGAAAGACGGATTAATAATTGATGATGTACTATTTATGGACAAAATGTTTTACAATATGAGTGATTATTTCATATTTCAAAGTACAAAGTATGATAAATTTATTATTGCTATCCTGTATGAAAGTATTTAAATATATCTATATTATTTAATTATATAGCCTTAGGCGTTAACAATATTTCTTTAAAATTTGTTCGAATGCTATTTAGGTAATCACCTTCTGAACATAACTATTAAAGTAGGATTTAAAAATTGCATAGTATTATTTTTTTCACACCTTTTTAACCATGAGCCGTGTTATATCATTTCTCAAAATATAAAATGTCAGAAAACAGAAAATACTTTTTATCAAAGTTCGCTTTTCACGTATGTATTTATAGAATTGAAATAGACAATGATCGTTTGCGATAATCCATCCATTGTCAACAAAGTTTTGCAGCTTGTGTTGATTTTGGGAAGTATTTATAAATCTTTGACATTGAACTATTGATTAGAGATTTAAGACAAACTTTTCTCTCTTTTCATAAATGAAACATTGGCAACATGAAATTAGAAGTAAAAAATTACACCTACCTGTTTCTCTTCCACTGAATTAGCAACTAATGTAATAACGTAGAGTTACTTATTTGAAAAAAAATATATATTCATATCTTATTTAGGGCAATTAAAAATGTTCTTGAACTGTATAAACCATTGTTGAGAAGTGATATTTGAAATGCGTATTGAATATTTACTTTTTCTTATAAATTTATTCTTTCTGTATTTTTAATGAATATACTCAATCTATGCGAACGGAAATTCTTAATAATTCCAATATAAAATTTCCTAGAAATGCTTGTTCTCTATAAATCATCTCTCAGCAAATATTATTTCTACTCGTTAGCTCTGGAAACTGAATATATTTATATTCAGTTTTAGAATATATATTGCATATCATGTGATATTTTCCAGAAGCATTTATGTTACCTAGAGAAAATTGTAGCCTTCAAGTTTTATATTACGAATTTTAAAATTACAATTTACTTGTTTTGAATTGCATCATGTAAAACTATTTGAAGTACTTCTTTTAATTAAATGTAATAAAGTGATATGTATTGAATAATATTATTTTGTATTAACTTACTCACTGTATTGTTACTTAAATTTTAATCCACGCATTTTTGTCAATTCTGTGGGTCTTTGTTTATACACTGGCAATTTGAGTCACTAATTTATTATTAAATATTTTTAAGGAATAAATGAAGTTTACATAATTAACATAAATACAGTGAAAATGCGTATTAAAAGAACCATTTTTAATTGATATTTTAATAATATTTTTCTGTGTATATTAACACGATATGTATTGAATCATCGACATTAAAAAAAACATCCACATTCATGAATTTATTAATAATAATCATATAAGTAGAAGAATAATCATATAATATTTTAGATTTGTTATTACAATTTTGTAAAAGACTCTGATGATCATCAGATGATCATACCCTAGTCTTTAAATAGACCAGACCAGATCAGATTCATTATGAAAATTGACAATTTGCAATTAAATTTTAAGTTTGAATAAGCATAAACAAAATCAAACGTCAAATATGGATTATTTTTTTCTCTCTTTTTGTAAAATTGCAGAATCAAAGTGAAAACTGTAAAGTTTTGTATGGAGAAATATTTGAAGATCTAAATGAATATAATAAAATTCTCATTTATTGAAAAACTTTACAGGAATATGAGAATGCATAATAAGGAAAACACAAATAAAATCTGGTTTTGTAAACTTTTCGTAAAATTCCAAAATTAAACTGAAAACTGTAAAGTTTCTGTATAAATTAATGTTTGAAGGCTTATTTGAACTTATAAAAATTCTAAAAATTCTCATTTATTGGTACGCAATCTAAAATTTATTAGACAAAATACAGTAGTGAAATCTCTACAGATATATAATATACAGAAAATAATAAATTAATAAGGAAAACACAAATAAAATTGTGGTTGCTTTTTTGCCCACAAATTGAAACCGAATACATATTTTGAATGTTTTTGTGAAATTGTAACATATTTTTAATAATAAATATTAACAGATATTTAAAATTTAATGAACTAGATACGTATCATTATCAAACTAAACTTTATACAAAACATTCACTGTAACAACAAAATAATTTATAAGTTGATTTAAAATATTGTAGATGCACAACCTAACTAATTATTACCTATTTTTATTAAATTTACCAATAACTATTAATGTTAATATTTTATTAATTATTGTAAATCTTTTTTAATATGCCTTCAATAATTGTTTTAAGAATCATTGTAAAATTTCCTTGTTTTCTTCCCTTTCAAACTATAAATCCGAGTTACTTCAATGTCAGCAACTATAAATCTATTTCTAAATTTGTTTTCAGATGACTTCTAGTGCTGGTGGCAGACTGCGATAGTGGTTGTTGAAACCACTCAGGAACTGAGTGCAAGTAACAACTTACTCCTGGCAGAACCATTTATGTCAACATGTTAATAAAAGAATACAGAATTCCTCTGCCGCTTACGGTGGAGGAATACAGAATTGCTCAACTGTACATGATAGCCGTGAGTATTTGGAAGATAGTTTGTTTAATATGATTTATTGTATATTAGTAATATATTCAGCTACGTGGAATCACTATCTAGTTTATAATTAATATTCTCAAATCTCAGTCAGGCATGGGTGCATGGTATAAGAACTTATGAAACAATTATTATATATACAAAAATATATACTATATCTATTTCACTTTACATTTATAAGTCATATATTTAGTCAGGTGTTATTCATCTTTTCAATATCTTTCATCTTCAATTTCTTTATAATTTTTCTTTCGAAGTTATATTGTTTTCATTGGCGATCTTGATATCAATCGAAAGTTCATTATAAATTTTACTTGTGCTCCATATGACATTTTCTCCCATTTTCATTTTTCTATTGTGTTCTGTGTGAAAATTTTAATGTTAAGGTAAGGTGATCATACGTCCCGGATTGGCCGGGACAGTCCCGGATTTTCACCTTGTGTCCCGGGTTATTTTAAAAGCGTGATTTTTACCGGATTTAGATCTTTTGTTCAGGATTGTTCCGGCTTTTCAAAAATTAAGAGATGAATTAACAAATATTATAAAAACAAACGAACAAGTGCTATTTTTTTCAAAATATGTATGAATAAAATTGAAAAGAATATTATACAAAAGCGCGAAAAACATATAGATCTATATAAGATATAATATAGATGATGACATATAATCGAATAATAAAGTTCTTACTAAAATTCCGCAATTATTATAAAAAAAAAGATTTATATAAAAAAAACTATTATTAAACTATTATTAACCCCCCGTTCCGGATTAGCATAACTAAAAATTGCGGTCCCGGTTTTGATTTAGATAAAGATGGTCACCTTAGTTACAGTTAACTACGATTGTCGAATATTCTCGTCATGGAACATTTTCTCATTTTTCATGTTGTTTATAATATTTTGGGCCTATACTGGTATAAAATAACTTCCAGTTTACATTAAAACGATATTTACCTTAATTCTGATAATACAAAACTGAATGGAAAACAGTTCAATGAAAGATTTAATTTGTTAAAATTGATACTTAATGTTTTACATAATAATATTCCAAATCCTCATATCATATATAATTTAATTTAATTAGAATGTCATTTGACTGTCTATTACATAAAAATAGAAATCTTTTAAGAAAAAAATCATCTTTTTATGAAAATAATGTTCGTTTAATTCGAAGGTTCGAATTTTCAACTAATAATTAGTCGAATAATTACTTGTTTTTTTAATTTTATTTATTGAATTGTTTTATTTTATGGTGGCACTATAAGAAGCAAGTACAAATTCAAATTGTTGACCTTCATTCATAAATCTCTTAAATTTCATGCAATTCAGCTTTTTGTTTACTCTTACTCTTTTTATTCAAAATTTGTAATGATTGATATTTTCAAATATTAATATATTAAATTTATTTTTAATTTTCTATATTATGATATGTTACTAATAATTCGCTTTGTAAATAGAATTCTATCATCTTTTTACATATCTTAAACATTTCTTCCAGCTATTACAAATACACAAAAAATTTTCTTTCATCATATTTGAACAACAATGATTTTAAATCAATTTTAATATCAATGAAAGTACATATATGATAAGTTATGAATAAATAATGTATCAAAATAGCAAAAATATTTGATTTATTTTGTAGACAATTTTATTGTGTAATGATCTTTCTAAATATTTCTTATTGTATGTCACCAAATTTTTGAAATGTTCTACAAAAATACTTTGAACATGTATGTTGCTAAATATACAGTATTCATATTCAGTTTTCATAAAGTATCATTACTAGAAGTGCCAGAGTGTAGATAGGTACACTATTTACAAAATTATAGAATAGTCATCCTGGATTTTTCAAATAATGGGTAGTGTAAAGCAATTTACAATTATATAAATAAAGTTCAATCTTCCCGAATTAATTCTTGATTTGTTTTTCTTTTACTGAATAATTGCCTTTCATTAATATTATGCACATGAATTTATTATTGACTTGGACGATTTTTTTAACCTATCCTTCAATTTCGGTGTTGGAGTTTCTCTTCTGCCCACGTTTAGTTTGCAAACTTATTCTTGCTTAGAAAAGTTTTGCCAAGTACGAATATTATAAGAATTTTTTAAAAGTGATATATTTTACACACTCCTACGCAAGGAAACTTAGAAAAGAAGAAGCTTGAGATAATATATATATATATATATATATATATATACATATATATATATATATATATATATATATATATATGTATATATATAGGTGTGTGTGTGTGTAGTAGTAGTATTTTCTTGTAAGTTTTGTAATAAATTACAAATAATAGGCAAACGTTTTCTATTGTTAGCTAGTAGGTATATTTTCTTGCAGTTGCTTTATTAACTTACTGGTGGAAATATGATTCTTTGGAACTATAAATCGATTAGCGAAAATACGAACAACTAGGCTGGTTTTAAATATTCAAAATTTATGCTATTAGAATATTATTAAAGAAATGAGATTTAGAATATTGATATTAGTACTTTGGAGTGTTTTTAATATTCTACATTAGCATAAAATGCATTTTTGTCATAGTATTATCTATCGCAATTTGTTATATAATTGTATACAATTACATTTAACAATAAGTCTGGTTATAGTAAACAACATATAATAGTTTTCAACACTCGCTCATTACCAAGCTTTAACTATTTAATGTTTTGATCAACCTAAAAACTGGTTCATTTACACTTCTATAGGCCAGTCTGTATAACCAAAAAAATTGGTTTACCAATATGTACTAGGCTTTTGCATTATAGTTTTTTTAAATTAATTGTTAATTATTTAATTGTTACAGTTAATTAGTGGTGCACGGCATCGTTCCTTGCTTGGTCCAATGCTTGCTGAACAGCCCTTTTCTGAAAATTTGTTCTCACATATACTCAAACAAATATAGATATATATATATATATATATATATATATATATTGGCTTTTACATTTCTCTCGTACAACATTATTGGTTTTCCTATCTTCAGAAAAAATCCCGGGAGGAAAGTAGCGGCGCAGGCAGTGGTGTAGAAATTCTGATAAACGAACCGTACGAAGAAGGTCCCGGGGGAAAAGGACAGTACACGAGAAAGGTTTATCATGTCGGCAGTCATCTTCCAGGTGAAAATGTTTCTAGTTTAATTTAATAGATTGTGGAAACAGATTCAATCTGCATACAGTGGAATTTACAGCAATATAAAAGATTAAATGTAAACATTCGGCAATCAGTTAAAACTCTGATAGTTGCTGTTTCATTTCATTTTTTATGGTATTTGAAATTGTATTCCAAATATAATAAAATGCAATCTATTTGCATACTCATGCAAATGAATGCGAGAATTTACATATCTGCAAATGTTCAATGCACTTCGATATAAAATACAGGGTGTTCCAGAACATAACGTCATTACAAAACGAAGTGTTTGTATTGACGTTTACTGCCCTGAAAAAAATTAGAAACTAGCTGTAAGTGGAATTCTGTCTTAAGGCAATTAAGGCATCGTGCCTTAAGGCAAATTGCTGGAACTTCCCGTACCAAAAATTATTATTTTTTTAAAAACGATTAACATTTTTGAAAAAAACTTACTTTGAAAAAATAAGATTTTTGAGAAACTATTTTTTCTAATATTTTTTTTGAAAAAAAATTATTTTGACATACTGTGGAAGATTTGAACTTTCTTTTCAAAGCAATCGTACTGCTTTAACTGCATAGGGACAAAATATAAAGCGCGTGAGCCCCGCGTCGCTGTCTAACGCATAAGCATTGGTACGGAACCCATAGGAATGTTAACAAAATGTATACTTATTGTTAAAATCTCTATAAAATATCTGATAATTTGATGTGCATATGTCGAATGATCATTTTTGACCGCCAAATGGCTCATTTTTTTACTTTTTCCTCCATACCTCCGAAACCGCTAGACCTACCTTCATGAAAATTTTATCGATTCTTATCTTGTCAATATAAGTGAAATGTTTTTTGAATTATTCAAATCGGACGCTCCGTTCTCTTAAAAACTGAGTTACCGTTTTCGCACTTTTTGCCCCGTATCTCGGAACGGCTAGACCTGCCTTCGCCAAAAACTAATCAGCACGTCTCCTTATCAATACGAATCGAATGTTTTTTGAATTATTCAAATCGGTTGATCCGTGTTCCCGAAATCGTCGACGAAAATTTGTATCCGCACATACATACACACATACTACATACATACATACATACATACATACATACATACATACACACACACACACACACACACACACACACACATACATCCATTTTTTCTAAGGTATGCCAAAATGTTCAAAAACCTCTGAAACGTAAAGATATATAAAAATTTTCATTTTTGATTTTTTTGCGATTACTATAACTTGCCCTACGGGAAGTTAAAAAAGAATATATCACGTTGTTTAGAAATAATGAGCTTTTAAGTGCAACCTAGCGCTTTGGTGATATTATGATCATTTTCGCTTATTGTGGTTAATTTTTATTATGTATCTTGTATATCATATATATAGCGTAAATAGTTAAATTTTTAATAAAACTTTCCAATGTTTTAGTACGTTATTTTTTGCCAACACACTTTAGTGCTTTTTTCAAAGGATGACATTTCAAAGTCGACAAATTATGAAAATTTGAATTCATACTTCAACAGAAAGACCTAATTCTAGAAAACTTGATCCAATTGTATAATTATTTTTTACTGTGTTCTAAGAAATGTTATTTATGGTTGCAATTTCAAAGTTATATGAATAAAAATAATGAAAATTAACCATAATAACCAAAGTATGGTTACAGTTTAACCAAAGCTCTAGGTTTTACTTAAAAGCTCATAATTTTCAAACTTCATGAAAATTTGTTTTGTTTTTCTAATTTTTTCATGATTTGCTACTAATTAATACTGTCATCCCTTTTAGTTTTAATGTAGAGTTCTGGTGCACCCTATATATAATGATAAATAATACTAATTTCAGAATAAAGAAAAGGAATCATTTGAGGTTTTGATGCATCAGCATTATTATTTTATTTGCATACCAGAAAAGTATACAATAAATGTTAAGATAGTTTAAATTTTTACTTTTACTTTAAATTTTTACTTTAGTTGTTGTATCAATTTATTTATTATCTCATTTAACGTTTAATGTTATTTATTTTTCAGGTTGGTTCAAAGGTCTTTTACCCAAATCAGCTCTGACCGTAGAAGAGGAGGCCTGGAATGCATATCCTTATACCAAAACGCGTTACACGTGTCCTTTCGTAGAAAAATTTTCATTGGAAATTGAAACTTACTATTATGCTGATGATGGGCATCAGGATAATGTTTTTAATCTTGCTGGAAGCGATTATAGGAATAGAATTGTTGGTAAGTAAACGATAATTGTTTTAATAGAAAGTTGCAACATTTATTGAACCTTTTAATTTATATCTCTCTTTGTCTTTATAAAGTATCTTAAATTTCACATTTAACTACAAGAAAGAAAACCAATTTAACTGTATTGTTTATTTTCGAACACATTTGTCATTGGGACATTCACAATAAAATGATATACTGACTGACGTAGCAGTTCATTATTTTTTAGATTTTTAAAATAATTTTAGATTTTTTGTTGTTGTGAAAGTAGCATTATGTATATATTTGTGTATATTTATTCGTATATATTTGTGTTATATAATCGATTAATTTATTCAAAAAATAAAATCAATGAGGATGTGCATTGTTTACTATTTGTGATTACTACTATCAATATCGGTAACAATTCAATATAGATATGTTTTCTTGAATAAACATTTGTAAATTTTTAACATATTATTTTGTTAATATTCTAGATGTAATAGATGTAGTTAAGGATCAACTTTATGGAGCTGATTATGTAAGAGAAGAAGATCCTAAATTTTATATATCAGAGAAAACAAATAGAGGTCCATTGAATGACAGCTGGTTGGAATATTATTGGAACAATGTAAATATTAATATTGCAGATACATTATTAAAATATTAGAAACTAAGTTGAACAATATATTCAACTCTAAGCAATTCGCTCATCCAATTTAATTAATGAATTCTTAATTAATGAAATATTTCAGGTCAAAGATAAACCGCAGCCCACGCCCGATGGTTTGGCGCTTATGTGCGCGTATAAGTTATGCCGAGTCGAATTCAGATATTGGGGAATGCAGACAAAACTAGAGAAATTCATTCATGATGTCGGTATGTAGAGTTTCGAAATAATTAAAATAATTTTATAATTAATTAAATTACATTCTTTAGTTATTTATTTCATTTATCGCATGTGCTATAACAAAATTATGAGCAAAATGAATGAAAACGGAATTGTCATAATATGTCACGCAAGTATTATTTTCTAACGTATTTTATATCGTTTTGTTGTTTGTGAGATGTTCAACAATGCTCATATGTACTTTGAATTTTATCCGTTTTACATCCGTATTTCTACTAAATTTCAAGTGGTTAATCTCAGAATCAAATGCAAAATATTATCAAGTGTTTAACTCTTTCGCTACGAGAGTATTTTCTGCAAAAGTGTACTACTGAACGAACCAGACACAACGATATAATTTAAGATATTTCTATTATTCATATCAATAAAAATATATTGAAAAATAAAAAATTGCGCTTCGAATAAACTAAAAATTAGAATTGCCAAGAGTTTAACTCAGTCATAAACCTTGAAGCAGAGACCGACGCAGAACATGTCGTCCATGGACGGCATCCGTACACATAAACCATCATGTGGATGTCGTCCATAGATCGTGGACTATGTTGTATATGGTAGTTTATCAAGTTGTGTTAAAGTAGAAGAGTTATAAAAGCTGAGTATAAGTAGAAGCTTTTACTTTATATATGCTTTAAAAAATTATATTGTAAAATCTATAGGTAATTATTACTTCAATTTTATTTAAAATTTGATTCTACTTATTATGGATATTGCTTTATTTTTAGTCATTATTATCATTTTTTACCTTGTTATTGTTTTATTGTGACTAAAGTATTGAAGAAAAACTAATAAAAAAAATAAGGTCATTGATTCGGTGGTTCTAAATTTTCAATATACAAGTCCTATTAAGGCTTATTTTATTAGTACGGGGTTTAACCAGTGGTGTTGTGCTAATACATTTTTACCCGAACTCTAAAATTAAACGACCGGTTCAAAAACCGGTTTTCATATTTGTTCCGGTTGGGTTCGAAAAGTAAAGAAAAAAAAAATTACAAAACCCATTTTGCGCATATACG